AAATATCTCATTATAATGTCTGCTTGTTACTTCTCTCCGCTCTTCCACTATATCTATGTGTTTAGTTTTGCAATGAATATTTAAAGAGTAGACATTTACGCGGAAGAAGACATTTTATCGTCTCAAATGCTGCTCCATGGATGTCACTTTTTTTAAGCTTGAAAACAGAAAATTACACCATTTATAATTGGAATGAATTATCACATATTTGAAGTCTCTGTACGTGTCTTAAATATTATAAAATGGATTTGGTGCACATTCACATACGTACACAAGCAATGCAAAAAATATTCATTTGTTTGGCATGTGCTTTTTTGATTGTAAACTCATTCAAAAAGTTTTAACGAGATGGTCTTCTTTTGTTCAATATTTACTCACACGAAATATGTCTATTGTGTTGTGCATTTTGTTGTATATTACTTAAAAGAGACATTGCATTAAATCAAATTTTGACGATTGAGATTGTATGTAAACAACACATGTGGTGTAGTTAAGTGATGCAAAACAACCAATAAACCTGTTTATTTTTAATTTCGTGTCTATGAATTCAATCACGTCTCCTTGAAGACTTCCGGAAAGCTCTTACTATACAGACCTTGTAATTTATTATACAATGTAGCAGCGATGATTTGTGCTACTAACGTCCTCTTTCAAATATACTTAACTGATTTCATACATTAAGGAGTATAATTAAAGGTTTTATACTCTATAAGCTTCATCGCTGGCTATACTTTTATTAGAAGCCGTGTGATGTTCTAGTGTGCTTATACACCGGACATTCTCTATATAAACATATGAACACATCATGAGTTCATTGTAAGCTAATCACGGATGTAAATTCTGCATTTATGTTTGTCGATTTAGTGTCACAATAATACTATTGCAATAATCAAATTGATGAACGTTTATTCTCCATCGATGATTTAAATGAATGTGTTTAGTGTTTATATAGTGTGTGTGTGTGTATGTGTGTGGTTTTTTTGTCAACTTCAAATTTGGAGCTTAGAGGTTACATTGTTGTTAAATGTTAAAGAGTACATTCTATAGCTGTGTTCGCATTACCTTCATATTACCCAGACTTTAGTCAAGCCAACAAATATCTTCGCATTAACATGAAACAATTGCTTGCAATGTACGTAAAGCTTAGGGATGCGGAAGTAATTTTGATAAAGGATTTTCTGTATTTGTAGTCACTATTTGCTTATACAGTGTGCTTTTTACATAAAATACAGTTTGATTTGTCAATGTGTTGTGTCAACTGGCACCAAATAAGCAATGATTCAAATTAACCGTATTTCGGTTGCAATGTGATTGGATAACAAAATTGATTGTAGTGTTGGTAAGGAACTAAGTTTGGTATTTTATCCAGAAATGTAGTAAACCATTTTTGCATATGACGTTCTCGATCTTTTCTATTAATTTCCAACATTATGAACTCTGTTGTTTGTCTTTCAATTGCCATTGGAATATATATTAAGTAAACAAAAGTAATTTTTCAAGTCGACCAAATTAGTTGACCAGAATAACGACAAAAATACTGAGTCTACTATGCAAAGTTTGAAAGCTTTCAGCACATCGTAATCGTTTTTGACTGAAAATTTTCAGCACAAACGAACAAAAAATTCATCTCAATGTGTCTCGAGATATTCATCGGGTAATAAAACAAACAAACAAAAAGTAATTCCATGGCTTAATGTTTCACATCAGACAAAGTGTTTTGTAGAAATGCTTTGCGTTAAGCAGTTGTGTGCGTGTATGTTACTTTCTGAGTTTTGATTTTTTTCAAACATTAGGTTTCTTAAACTGCTTCTTATCCATTTTATGCAAGATAGACGGAAAGAACATCTTTTTCGCTCTAATTTGATATTTTGTGATTAAATCTGATTTTTTTTTTGTTGAATCCATTGAAAAAAAGTTTACGATTTTTTTTTCACAGCACATCAAATTTGGATGGCCATCAGAATGAATAAGACACAGAATTATGCTACACCAACAGACAATATATTTGGATTTTGTCATCTGGATATTTCACCTCATCTGAATAACGTTAGGCGATGATACGGAGTGAAAACAATAGAAGTGATTGTTGTATTGTATAGGTATAAAAACACTATTATAACTATAACAATCATTTCTATTTTTTTCACTCCGTGTCATCGTAAGCATTTCATTCAACCATTTTCCATTTTTTGTCAAATTGTATTTGAATTTTTTAAATTGATCCAAAATCCTCTGTTGAGTGTTATTAAAATATTCGGATCAAAGAACATATTATTTCTGTATCAAATATTTCTATTTGCTTTGAGTAAATTAATTAATTAGTTGTGTTTATATATCCATAGCAACAATCCTCAGAAATCCAAAGTGTTACCTTTTAATTGTGTTATATTGGAATATTAACAATTTGTTAAGATCAAACTAGTACTACTTCTTGGGTGCCGTTTTCTCACATTTTTCGCTAGTAAAAAAATGTATAAACGTCGCAACTTCAACTTTTCATGTAAAATATACACATATATACATTTTTCCGTTACACTAATATTTTATGCGATGTATTAAATGCCAAACAGGGAAGATATATTGAACATAATGGAGAAGTTTGTTAAGTTTTAAAATGATATCCGTACTAGAAAGAATGCACCGTTAAAAGGCAATATGTAAACGGTAGACTGCATACAAGTAAATCAATAAGAATAAAGACAAAGAGTTGGAGAGAGAGAGAGTGCGAGATTTGTGTGTAGTATGTGTGATTGATGTACAGTGCTCTTAGTTAGGATCTCTATTTCGTTTTGAATGTGATGTTTTGATTTTAGTTAACTTAATGCGCTTCTATTGCACACGAATCCAATTGAGTCGATTTCGATTGCAATTTGTATCATATAAATAAGAAAACTATCAAGATACATTTTATAATGGAAAATGTTACCGAAGAGAAACGAAGTGAAATGACTCAAAAGTATTAAAAGGCAAAATGGAAAGTTCTACGATGCACACCATACCACTTTTGTTAGTTTCAAATATTTATGTTTTGAATCAAAGTTACACATGTGGAAAGTGCAAAGTCACACAAGAACCGAATAGCAGAAAGCGAAAGAGAAACTGCACACACTATTCAATCACCACCATCTATTTAAATAAAAAAAAACCACAACAACTTTAACCGAAGCGAGTTAAAATATAAGGTTTGAGCGAACTCACGATGTGTCCATACCGTTTATATAGAGAATGAGCGTTGTGTGTACACTGTATACTAGCATCTCATACGGTCTATGATGAAAGCAGAGACAGAAAAAAACTTCCAAATTGGTTCTCAATCAAAAGTAATAAGCACTTTTAAGCCTAGCGAGATGCAGGGGGCGTTAGTAGTACACACATCGTATATTCAGCATTTTCATTGTGTTATCGACCAGTAAAAAGTCCATCTAGCGATACAGAAACTTTAAAATGTGAATGGTGATACAAAAAAGGCAAGCGAAAAATGTAAGTTGTTTTCAAAATGGACCATGCTATAAATGGATCATCTTAATTCCATCACACTAACATCTAAACAATGGAAAATTATCTTCAAATCGAAACGGGCACACTTTGACATTCTTTGTTTAATGTTAATTTCACGCAAGAAAACAGTGTAAATTCCAGTTAGAGTATTGCTTTGTATCCTTTACAAGCTCATAGGGATCATCACATGCATTTCCATTTATATTATGTGCTAGTAGTTTTACTGGTATAAACGAAACAATAATCGAAGAAAGTAAAAAAAGAAAACAACTACAAACAAATAATCAAGCAAACGATGAAAGTCTCAACGAAACAAGAAATACGATGCATCATGCATACATAACGAACTCAATTAAATTAAGAATTGTTAAGAATTGAATTTATGTAATTTGATTTATTTGCATTGATGGAAGGTTATACAGACATGGAGTGTTCTATATATTATATTGTGATTCGGTTTGAATGCGGTGAAGCGAATAAATATAGTGAACAATGCTTTATTCGTTGTGTGACATCGGTATGGCTATGAAGATAAATCATTTGCGTGACTATTTCTCTTGTACCGCTAGGGAAGAATAACAAAAGAAAAGAATGGAATTAATTTAAAATAATCGAAATTATCGACCCGTGTTTAATATACACTACTGATCAATAGTTTGAGCAAGATAAACAGTTGCCACGGACCATGAAGGAGTCATTTATGGTGGTTGATTTATTTAGACAAAATGACAAAATGTAGATCGTAAGTAAATAGGACTAAATTTCATCTGAAGACATTAACTCTCAGAAAACATTCATTAATTTTTACGGGTTAACCGCAGATAATCAGAAAAGTCCATTTTCCATACAAATATTTAATTGTTATTCGAATACCGAAAAAACTATGACGGAGTAGTCATTTCTGATAGTTAATATATCTTCAGATGGAATTGAGTCCATACTACATTTAGTATAACTCAGAAATGACTACCATGATGGACCACAATAACGGAGAAAACCGGCAATTAAAAAATCTATTAACAATAAAAATCGTTAGTCGTTCTCAAACTTTTGATCGGCTGTGTATTGAAAAAAGTATATTCAAAAAAAAAGCCATACAAGAGTTGCAAATTGTGTATCTGTTTACAGTTTGCTCCAAATCATCAATTTTAAAGTGCGTTATCTGCGTTTGATTTGTAGTTTTATTATGTATTTACAATTAAATCGTTGCTGTTGAAAAAAGCTTTATTTGTCGCAGTATTATTTGGAGAAAAATAATAGCTATTTTTTCGACGCAATCAGTGAATTGTGTTTAAAAAACAACATTTAAGAATGAAGCGAGACATTGTGGATTTATGCATGTACGCACTATTCGTTGACATAAAACAAAGCTTATTAGCTAATTAATAATCAAATGATACCTTTCAAATTTTGGGATAATTATAATGAAGCTAGTGGAAAATTTCATTAGGAAACCATGAAACTCACATATTTGCTTTTTCAATATTATTTCTTTTGTATAGGATCATGGCAACTTGGATGGGTGTTTTGCAATATTTGGATATCGTTAGACGTGCTTTTATGTACTGCATCGATTCTGAGCTTATGCGCAATTAGCATAGACAGGTAAGTGGTCTGAATATTTGGCACACAATCCAATTTTCAATCTGAACTCTCTCTCTCTCTCCATGTGATTGTGTCTCTTTTGCATTTTCTGTCTGTGTCATTCTCGATTGATTATTTCAGATATTTGGCAGTTACACAACCATTAAATTACTCTAGAAGGCGACGCTCCAAGCGACTAGCACTGCTAATGATTCTAATTGTATGGGTGGTTGCGTTGGCAATTACTTGTCCGCCAATTTTGGGATGGTAAAACGATATACGATAACGCTTTTTTGTTAATTAGTATAATACTCAAAAATATATTTTCAAAAATGCAGATTATATGTAATAGCTAATTGAAAAGCGGCAATCGTTTTTTTAAAATGATTTTTTTAATTCTAGGTACGATCATCGACGAGCTGAAAAGCATGATGAATGCGGATATAACCAGAACGAAGGTTATGTTGTTTTTTCAGCAATGGGATCTTTTTTCATTCCAATGGCTGTAATGGTATATGTTTATGCGCGGATTTCATGTGTTGTTGCCGCACGTCATGATCATATGACAGAAATCGAAGTTCATAAGGTAATTAACATAAAATTCAATCAAACACAATCGAATAACATATCGATGGCTTATCGTTTGTGTATTACATTCAAACAGAGACATAATAAACACTTTGATGTTGAAGCCGAACAAGATGTTGACTTGGAACCATCATCCGAACAGGATTTACAGAGTCCATATCGTAAAAAACAACATTCATTTCGTCAAACATCACGAAGCAATATATCAATGGATTTAAAAGAATCACGAATGGAATTCAATGTTATGGGAGGCAAGAACATACAACATTTACAAGAGAGACAATCGCAACACCAGCAACAGCAACAAGACAAACCACAAACAAATAACGGCCACTATGACCAAGACGACTTTTCCATTCGATCAACATCACAAAAACGCACCAAACCCAAATCGAATAATGCATCATCAACAATGAGCGACCATTGGTCAAAATTGGCTCAACCCGTGCAATATAGCGTTAAACAAAACAATACGGTTTTATATGAACTACAACGTCAACAACAACACACAAGTACAATAAAGCAAAATACACGCATCCATCACAAATCGCTTTCGAATCGCATTTTGTCGTTAAAACGTGAAAACAAGACCACACAAACTTTATCGATTGTCGTTGGTGGATTTATTGTGTGTTGGTTGCCATTTTTTGTTTGCTATTTGATCGCTCCATTTGTGCCGGTCAGCAAAACATTGAGCACGATGCTTACATGGCTTGGTTGGCTCAATTCTGCAATGAATCCATTCATTTATGCGTTCTATAGTGTTGATTTTCGTGCAGCCTTTTGGCGGCTCACATTTCGAAGATTCTTTGAAAGCTCCACCAAAGCACCGTACCCAAGTAATGCAATGTCAATCAAACGATAATTCGCATTCTTGTTGTTATCGTTCTTGCCGTCCGACCCCCCCCCCCCTGATACACACCACATCACTCCATCATCGTCACAAATACACGCATTACACAAATACGTATACCAATATGGACAGAAAGACACACGCACACACGCCGTAATGTGAATCATCAATATCACTTATTCATGTACAAAGTTTGTGGTGCTGTATTAGTATGAACCACTTTTCAGGTAAAATATTTAAGGGTTTCAAAAAGAAATGCGACCAAAACCATGGACAAATAACACCCACTTCATTTCTATATACATTTCGAAACTCAAACATGAGCAAATAAGTGTCATTATAAAATAATTTAAATTCATTTAAATGACGAAAATGCCAGATACATCCCCTTATCACAATTGAAATTAGTCACGGTTTAGCTCACTGCTGTACATGATTCTACACGTGGTTACTTTCACAGCTAAAATATTCGAGCAGCAAACGGAACAAAAACAGCGAACACGATAGCCGCAAAATCGATGGATCGAAGCGACAACACACACACAACACTCCTCAATTTTCCGCTCAAGTTTTTCTCTCTTACGCATACTCTTTGTCTCTCTTTCTATGTATTTTTGTCACTTCGTTTATTGTGTTACTACCAAACTGTAATGTTTTCAAAACGCATGATTATTATTGTTTATTGTGTGTCGTTGAAAATGGGTGGAAAACAATCGCCAAGAGAAATATTAAGATGCTAATATTCAAATAATGTGTAATAGAAGCTCATTCATGATACGCTTTCAAACTTGCAACAACAAACTGAAATTCCAATGGTAATATTTGCGGAAAATAATTTGCCCATGTCTAATATTACGCAAAACCAACGTTTTTCGCTTTGTTGGGGTTGTTGAACAACAACAAAACATTCGCATCGTGAAAAATGAGATCGAGAAAAATATATAAAAATCTTTCTTGCATTTTCACCACTTAAACCGATTCCCGATTTAAAAAAGAAAAAAAATCTGCAATTTTATCCTGAAATTCACGTCAATGTTTTAGAGCTGCACCACTTAAACTACGGCACGATGAATAAAGGAGTGTTTGTATTTTTATTCGATTAAAATGTGCAAGCAATTTTGTCTCAAAAAATGATCACATATATTTAGCTAGTCAAAGCATGACTTTAAAGGACTCTGCGAAGGCACAGAGCTTGCACAGAAATTGACAAAAATTAACTTCCGGACTAGTGCGTTTGGGGTTTCGCTTGAATTTTACATCATTTTCAAATTTCGATTTTTCGCACATGAAATCTAAGCTGAGTTTATGCTTCAGCGACAAAAATGTATGTCGATCAAAATATTGCAGTTGGTTGCATTTGAAAATATATGAGGGAAAATTATTTTTGAAAAAAAAAAAATGATTCGTATTAGTCGCTTTTGATCCATTGCATATCGAAAATGTGAAAATGTGTTGTGAAATAGTATGAAACTTTAATGAAGTTGGCAAAATTGTTTAAAGCACAATTTCTCTGGTGTCCATCCGTTAAGTTGTACGTATTTTCCATTCGATAAAAACAATTAGTTACGCCAAATCCAGAGATTTGTTGATGAAGTGTACAACATTCGGTATGTAATTCCATGGTTTAAAAGTCTTTTATCTGTGCACAAAGGGAAAATCAAATAAATACATGCAGTACACACAAGAGACAAACCCCACAAATTATTTTAGGAATCCTACCAAAATATGACTTTGTAAGGTTTCCTCCTAATACCGCAATATTTTAAAATTTGATTATTTCGAAACAGAACATATTTGTGTTTAAAAAGTTTCCTGCCAAAATATTCTGAAACCTTACAAATTCCGATTTTGATAGAATTTCTAAAATAATTTGTTTTTATTTGAAACTTTGACTGTTCCAACATCATTGGTAGTTTTAATTTAAGAAAAATAAATCAATTACCTCATTGCAAAGAAGACGAAAATATCTTCGTAATATGAATGGCGTGAGTGTGAATGCGAAAAACATCAATTTACTAAGCATTATTGATTTTAAGCTGCAGCTTACCGATTAATTTAAACTTACCGAACGAAACGAGAGACGCGTAGTTTGAATAATTAATTCACAACAGATTATGAGCTTAAGTTATAGCATATATAACTTGTTAAATTAATAGTCACTTGGCACTTGTGACAAGTGCAAAGTTTGTAGAAATATTAAAATTTAAACATAAACATTTAAAATAATTCAGTATATGAAGTCATCCTCATCTACTTGAAAACGATGACAAAATATAATACGATAAGCAAATACTTAATAGTGAAGAAAGATAGACGGAGAGATACGAGTGCACAGTGCACAAAATGATTCGGTTGGTTAACAATATATTGATATTAGCACACTTGAATAGACCCAAGATATAATAATCATCCCCGAGTGGAAAAAAAGTGACTAAGTTACTATTGACTGTAAGTGACTATAGTTAGCTATATTCATGAATTTTAAAATTTTGTATGGAAAACAATCGACTATAGTTACTCAGTCAGTCAGGCGATTATTTTGGGACGTTTCGACTATCGGGTGACTATGATTATTGTCAACTATAGTTAGCTGTTGCAGTTAACCATAGCTTACTTTAATTGATTGAAGTTAACTAAATTTAACTAAATTTACCTAAGGTTGCTTGTTTTTACAGTCAATAGTCAGTCAGTTTGTCCCAAAATAGTCAGTCACTTTTTTTGTACACTATATTCACTATATAAATATACAATATTGATTGCAATCTAAAGACAAAACCAATTTTCAATTTCATTTGTTTCATATTTGAAATGCAAATACACATTTTATAATCTCAAATCGTAATGTCATCTATACATTTCAAATCAAGTTCCAATTTTGGCGCTTTATTTATTTATTTATTTTTTTTTTTTTATAAAAAAAAATTTGTTGCGACTTCGCAATGGAAATGGTCCTGTTTGTGTTCAAACTAAACATTCGTTAAATTCCATTGGATATTCCATCAGATGAAGTTGGATAAGCATGTTTGTTTCTAAGTTTTAGTTTCAAAGCGAGAAAGTTTAATTTATATAGAGGTGATGACTTTCTCTCAGCTTATCGATCAGTTAAATACAACAGAAAAGTCAGACTGATGTATCACACATGTGTTCACACATTTTCGTACGTGGTTGTCTAGATGGTTAACGAATCTAGAGGGAGGACACAGTGTTACATTTTGTATGTATGCGCATTTTATGTTGGAAATTTCATTCAATTTCCATTAAATTATTTCAAATCATAATATGTGGGCGCTGAGTTACATCAAATTGAAATACGAAAATGTAAACCATGTACATGGAATAGGTGCCAATTTAACAGAAGATTGTTATATCCGTGACATTGATAATAATGATATAGATGATGATGATGTCAATGACAATGATAAAGTTTTGACAAAAATTATGGTATTGTCAATGGAGCGCTAAAGTATATGTGTGATGCATTCTAATCAAATTAGAGATTAGTTGGTTTCACGATGTGCGCTCATGCTCGGATTTAGACATAAAACATGTGTAAAAACATTTCGCATCACCATCCATAGAATAAACAATGACACATTCATTCAAGCACTATGACAAACATACTATTTACGGTTAAAAGAATGTATGAATTAAGCAACGAAATCTCAAAGTAAATCGTACTATTTATCCGCATTTTACGTCATCTAGTTGAATAGCTCAATCTAAATCCATAGATGTATGTGTTTGTTTATGTTCACCGCATGTACATGTGTTGTTAGATTGGACTTAAAATTGGTTTGGCGAGATACAACTTGTTTCATGCTCGAATTTTAAGCCCTTTTTCACCTTTTTTAATGTGTTAACAACATTTCAAATTATAGGTGGTAGAGAATGTTAACTTTCTAATATAAAGCAGCAAATTATAGTAAAAATGCGCATTCTCGTATTAAATTTGAAACTTTAAAGTAGTAAACCAAGTGAACATTTGAAGGAGAACTTCTATTCGAAGTTGGCAGTATATAATCTTATTTCTATAACACGGTGTCCAGTTTAGTCCACATTGGGTTTGGTGTGTGAATACATGAATTTCAACGAGCAACGAATCATGCATAAGTTTTAAAAACACCATATTGCACCGAAATATTTCATTTTTCAAAATCAATTTATGCGAGATATAGAATTTCCTTACAACACACACACATGGCCCGAAAGGTATTGTGTAAATTTTGAAACATAAACATTTGTAATGAAATTTTAGTAAAAGAAAACTCATTCACTTGGACACTTCAACCGTATTCAACAAGTACTAACATATGCTAAAGTTTTTTTAAAACCATTTTGCAGTTTGGTTGATTGTTTTGAGTATGTGTGTTGGTTTCAAGTGTGAGTCAAACGATCGAATCTTTCGAATAAATCTGAAAAATGTTGGAAAAGTTTTTCCATCTCTTAAGAAGAATACATTTTACCATACATTGTTTACACATACAGCATACACATGGTATTTGTGGATAAATTGAAGTGAGATATCACTCCATCCATCTTTTCGGTTCGCTATAAAGATAAATTCGGATTCAAACGTTTGCATGTATACGAATGATACGTTCATTAAATATTTTGATCATTCATTTGTTTACTATATTAATAGCAATTAGCTTTTGATTAGGTTTATCTTTGTTCAAGATTTTCACTTTCGCAGATAAACAGATCGGAATTATAAATGTAGATATAATTACATTACAGTAATATAATATATTAATTTATTGATGAAAACCAAAGTTCAATTGTAATTAGTGATTAATGATATATGATAACGACAAAATATAGAAATAATAACAGAATACTTGTTAATTGTAAATACCATGTTTGATTGTGTCCATTGAAATAACATTGATATTCAACAAATAAGCAGCGATTGAAAGCCGTGCATTTTGGAAAATCGACAAAAATGATGCGCACATTCAATTCAAATAATTTTCCATCATTGTAAACTATATATGGTATACAAATTGAATGAATCAATTTAATCCTTTTGTTAGGCCACATATACTATAGCATTAGTTAGAGACCTATTTGTAAACTTTTAGCGGACAAATTAAACAATTTTGAATGTTTGTGAAGAAATTAACTTTAGAAATAAATTGCATCAAATTGAAACAACAAAATAACAATGAGTTTGTGTTAGTGTATATAAGGTGTCATGGATTCGATTTTAATTGGATTATTTTTCCATTTTGTTGTTGACGGTTTCCAGAGGTTATAGGAAGAACAAATGATAAGTTTGCTTAAGATTATTATTATTTTTCTTGTTTTTCTCTTGTTTTCACGCTAATTTTGGAACCGATTTGCGAACAGATACAAAAAAATTCTTTCACAGTTGAAAAAATGCACAAATTCAAAGAGCAAGCCTGTCATATTTAACCACGATGTGCTATGAAACTCAAACTATGTACAGTAAAACCGGAACCGTGGAACCGGCATCATACCAAAATGTGTCGCACATTTCATTATATTTTTTGTGACCGAAATTCTTTTCCACCAATAAGATGTTTTACTGTACTTTGTAGCTCAGTCGGTATTTTGTCATCATCATTTTTGTTCATTAATTATTCATTTGGTCTCGGGGGTCTGGATCCTTTTCATTGTTTCAATTTTATACACTTTTTTGTGTTGTTCTAATGTCCGCACACAAAATTTAAGAACAACTTTTTTTTACATGATTTAAACCACAAACGTGATCCCTTTTTTTCATTATACATCAGAGAAATTTATGCATTTTTTGTTCGCTTCATTATTATCATTTAAATTTATTTGGTTCCCTTCGTTTTTCTATTCCAATGAATTTATTAAGGAAAATATTTAGAAAATTAAACTAAATTCAAATTTTATGACTTGTTACGAACCGAAATAATCGCTCTGTTAAACAGTGAAAAAAAAATATTAGTTTGTAACAATTAGCGATGGGAAAACATTGAGAAGAAAATATCAATAAATCAGTGCATCAAAATTAAAATGGGCTCCAAATGTAGAGATCAATAAAAAATCAAACAAAATTCAACGCATTTTTGCCGCTCTTTTACATCGAAAAATTCAGAAACTGCACTCAAATATCATTGATGGACATGAGCGAAATGGGCAAAAAATATGGCATCAAGTAAAATTGAATGATGTTTGGAATTGTTTATTGTCTGGGAATGTAATTTTGGTGAGTGTTTTTGCTTGATATTAGTTTTTCAATCTGAATTATTCGCACACAATCGAATTTTGTCGAAAACAGAAACATATATCGCTTAATATGCAGCGACAATTGTTTAGTGTTCGACGCTAGTGTTTATTTTCTCTCTCAATTTTCTCAAATTTATTTATTAATATTTTCATAACAACATTTTTTATATACAAAAGTCCAAGTCAATGGAATATTTATGGGCTTTATTTCGGACAACTTCTTTTTCTATGCCGTGCATACATGACCATCGAACAAATGTCAAACTGTTTACAAATGGAAATTAGTTATTTGCTATGAATCATATCATAACATCGTGTATGCAGCATAGAAAAAATTGCGAATATTCTATAGAACATAAATCATTCGAAAGTTCAAAAGGAATCACCGACACGTGCAGAAATTCTCGTAAGTCCATGAAATTCACAATAGACCAATTTATAAATAGAAACTTAAACTGGCAGACAGAGAAAGGGACAGCGATGGAGAGATGGAACCCATTATAAGAAAACCGCAAACTAGTCTTGCTATAGTTGTGGGAATTGAAAGTTAAATATCTGACAAAATCCATTTGAGTTTTTTGCAAAATATTTATACTTAAGACCTGTAGTTTTAAAAAAAGTTCCGAAACGTATTTGAACCAAAAAAGAAACGAGAAAGAAAGGAAGAAATAAATCCTTATAATTATGATGCAGTTTTGATATGAGTTGCCTGTGTTCAAAACTTATGTCATAAGTACCTAGAAAAAATACCATTTGTTTAAGAGTCTCAGAAACTTTAATGAATATTAAGCTAGTTTATGTATAAATTACAATAACAAACCAATCAAAACTGCTGAGATGGAAGATAGAAGTCTTTTCTGCTATAGACATAATTATTTCAAAAAATTTCCATATAAAACAGACAATATGGTAAGTTCTATCTCGCTGAAATCCAGTGCTTGAACGACAAGGTAATTTTTTCACATTCTTAGTGATGGTTACACAAATTTAATAATTTAGCTACTTCACATTCTTGAAAACTTTTACAAAAAACATATACCGAACGAGATACTGGTAACATGTCGGAAACTGCATACGGATAATGTATTTCATTTCCGAAAAATAATGTTTGATGGCAAATTTATGATGTTATTGGAAAAATCTTCCATAAAACTTTATAACTTTTTAAAATCCGTAACTATTAACATTATTGTAATCAATCACAACGAAAAATAAATTCATCTTCAATTAAACGTAAAATCAAATTGAAATTATAGGTAGCAAACTTGATGATTGGTATAATTTGTGTAATAAATTCCATCGAAAAAAGAGCTTCCATCACTTAAAAGCCCCGTAATATTTATGTGCCCCATAAAGTAAGCGTTACGTCTGGGTTTAATTACTATGAACCATTCTACAATGTCTTTTATGTGATAATTAAATTACTTGAAAATCGTATCAACGACACAGTGCATATTTGCGACATTCATTTTAACAGCGGCCGAAAATTGTTGAGCACATAGTATAAATCTAAATGTCGACTTTTCGCCAAGTTTAAACAAACTTCTACTTTTTATCTGATTGTCTGTTATCACCTCGAGCCGTTAAATATGTTGCCTGTTGTTGTTATTTTTTTCTGTGGCTGTCAAAAAGATTTACCATACTATTAAAAATAATGTGTGTGCCACTTGTTTTGAGATTTTAATTACATTTCATATGATTTGGACATAAATTTATGATTGTCATAAAGTGTGTAATTGTAATAATATTTGAATCTCAGATTGTAATGTTTGGTTTACATGCGACACCGGTTGTATATCAATTCACAAATAAACATGCGTATGGTGTGTAACGTAACGTGTTACTTAAGTGATACAACATCTTATTATTTGTGAGAAAGTCCTTTCGATTGAATTATATAGGGGGCCCATTGGTTCGCTGTTCGGTGTCTCTATTGCCGTTTGGTTTTCAATCATCAAATGTGTGTAACGCATGCGCAATTTAAAATGAGCGTGGAAGTATGAGTGCGTTTGTGTATATGTATGTATGAAAGAACGTGTGTAGCGTATATGAAGAGTGTAAAAAGAGAATGGCATACATATCATTTACTCGTAACTCATGTACGTAATGTATGTATCTGTATTGTTATATGAGCATGTGATTGTTACACACATACTAATATTTACACATGTGTTTATCCTTAAGTTAAATCGTCAAAATCATCATCATCATCGTCATCAATCGCAATGCACGACGATACAAACGCTTGAACGTCATTCAAAGGTTAGACCGATACCCTCGTATACGAGAGCCGCCTATACGCGCTTATATTCATGATGATGGCGATGATGATGATGATGATTGCACATGTGTACGCGGCATACGATTCGGCTGGTTTAGTGACGAAGCAAGCATTCGCCGTATGGCTTTGGTTATATTCAATAGAAACGTTTCGGTTAAATTCATTCGCATTATGGTGTTAAAAGTAGTAAGATAGTCACTTTTAACCATTCATTCCGGTTTTTCTGTTGTATTTGTTTTTATTATACTAAAAAATATCTAAAGTTTAAAGCCATTTTCCTCATGTCCAATCGAATGGTATAGCATTCAATTTGACGCAACGTATACATAAATCAAAGTTTTAAATTTAAGGATGCTAAACAAAAATGAATTTTCAATTTAAAAATAGATTTAACTAGAAAACTATTTCGTTTTCGGTGAATATTTTGTTGAAGTGCTCTTCATAGCAAAACCAAAAAAAAATTATTCTTATAAAATCGAAAAAAAAATTTATAAAAAGTTAAAAAGAAATAGGTGACAGGTGTACATTTGTTGGATATCTGTAACCTTAATAAGAAGACATCTGTTTATTGTTGAAGTTACCGTATACTTAAGCAACAATATTAAAAACACTCCTCAACGTATTTCGACATAGAACGTATTCATCACATCCAAGGTACGTTTGAGTGTACTAAAATCATTTAAAACATTTTAAATAATTAAAAAGCATCATACAAATACACACTGGTTGTCATCTGTTCGTTGGTTTATTTCATTTCGCATATTTGTCGGCTCTGTTTATATCGATTGACACAATTATTTCATAGTCATTAAGAGCGAACGATTTTGTAGTCACCTAAAAATAAAAATTCAAACAATTTCATACGTTTCACTTAAAAATCAATAAAACAAATGTCTGTTTGAATGTAATGAGCGCATAGAATGATTAACGACGTCAACGAGCCGGTGAATGAAATTCTTTGGTCGCCAAAAATAAGTGGATAAAAGACATTGAATAAAAGAAAAGAAAATGTAACGCACAGAATGAACGAAACAATATATAGTGTCCAACCCATTTTGTAATGAAGAAAATTATTTGAATAATTTGTGTGTGCGCACATTGTTTATTAACCATGTCGCTCGCATTTTGAATGTAAATTGTTTTGCTTCGAAATCTGACGATTTTTACGTTAATTTGCATTTCACATGTCTGCTAGATTGCATACTACAAAATCTCTACACACCGCCACGTGGTATTTGTGCAATTTTTTTGTTCGTCTTCATTGTACGTTGGCTGATTGCTTTTCGGTCCGAACTGTATTCAAGACTCTACTTGCAATATATGTAGCGTGTATCCGTTGAGTTTCGGGCATATGCGTGTGTGGCAAATAGATTGTTGTCGGTCGTATATGTGTATTTATGACGCTAAAAAGTACAACGTCTTTCGTCATATGATTGTGAGCAAAAAAAGACGGTTTTTTTTCGGTGCATCATTTAGACAGGAAAATCCACCAAGCGATAATGTTAAATATCAAGCAATTTATCGTTTATTGTTGTTGTTGTTGTTTTTTGTGCGCATTTAAATATAATCGACATATTTTTTTTTGGCTTCCTATTCCCGGAAAGAAGAGCTAAAGCGATAATATAAAATATAAATTTGGAGGCAATTCCCAATGTTGCGACTTAAATAACACAGTGCGAACATATCCACATCGATACTTTGTCGTCTAGAACGTAATAGATATTTTGGCCGCAAAATCTAAAAATAATATCATTGAACAAAAATACTCAATCAAAATGAATACATTGGTGATGTACATGACTTATGTACCAAATATGTATGCATGCAAGCTCATTCTCTCACACTTTGGAATGTGGGTTGATGAACATAAAAAAAAATCGGAACATCTAATTGAAGCCGTTGCGACCACTGATATGTATATGTGTAGACTGATGTGCGTTTACATTTTGATTAAAAATGCCAGCAGACACAATCAATTCTATCATTTCTACGGGTTCACTTACTCACCTTTATACCTACATAATCTTGCATTTAGAATCTTCCATTTTTGATATGAAGACTTTCTTACTCATTGCCTTTCTTTACGAACTTAGTCATTCTTTATCATTCACTCTCTGTCTGTCTCTTTTTATTTTCCTTCTGAGCAAATACAATGCAATGACTGTACACAATTCTTAGGAAACGAATCGAAAAAACGCGCCAAATGCTCTTTGTCTATTCTAGTTGTTTCCCCTTGCTCGTGCGTACGTCACGTTTTTGTGTGTTTGTATTGGTTGCGATAGGATACGTTGCTGTTAGCCGGCTACTTGTACGCACACAGTTTTTGGTAAACGTCACCGTCACGTTAAGGATATCGAAATGGATATTCTGATTTTAAATTTAACGAATGTTGCATCAGCCTGAGTGATCTGAACTGTTTGACTTAAATTTGACGAACCTCAGAGCCGCATATCATTCGAAATACAAACATTCTGTTAAAGAGTTCTATCGCAACATTCCCGATATACATTTATTGTTTTTTTTATTTCGAAATAATTCTCGTCCTTGTGAACGGTGATTAAAAGTAACAGAGTTTTATCAGTCACTTGGGTAAGCACAATTATTTTCAAAAATTAATCACATGTTGCAATATCATAAACGTTAAATTATAAATCATTCATTTTATTAAATTGGTTATTGAATTTTATTTTTCGTCTCACTTTATGTTATTATTCTATTATAATGCATAACGATTGTTTGTATTTCAAACCAATGAATCCATTTTAATCTGTTTTGCTTGAATTCCATTCAATGCAGGCACAATAGAAATAATTATTATGATTTGACCAATATTTTTTAGGCACTATATTTGCAAATAAAAAACTGGAATATGGCGTTTAAATAATAATAAACTCAATCCAATGAATGGATACCAAGCTAAAGTTCAAAACTGCGTTTCACTGAAAATTGAAAAAATTTGCAAATAAACTGACAAAAGGTTTATAATAATGGGACGAAAATAATTTCAACAAATTGTGGCCGATCCCATATATATCGCAGTCTTTTGATGCACATCACATGTGCCTCTCTTACAATTGACATTATTGTTAAAATATGTCCATATTTCAACGAGTATTACTTTTTATTACATTCATCCGTTTGACTTCAATTCTACACAAAATGCACAAGAGTTTATTTAAAACAGATAACGAAGTATATTTACATGTGTTATCCATTGGCTAAGCAAATAATCAAAAAAGCAAACACCGTGGTGATATAACAAATTCAACAAGTAAAGTCATATCACAAACATAGTAGAGTGCGCTTTCAACTATCATATTTCGTTTGGATCAATCGATATAATAACAATGCAATTCACGCCCGTATTTGTAAACATTTATTTGCAAGGAACCACCTTTGCCTTGGGAATAGTTTACTTTTCTTTGAAATATTCGTTTTATACACGTAATATACGGGTGTATTGCACGATTTTCATCGAATAAAATAAATATTTGTCATGTTGATTTATCTCATTTATATTTCTTCTAATTTTATGTGCGATCTTACTGATTTTATATGATCCGTATAACACGACTACAGATAAGATGCAAACGAGATACGCACAGTATAAATATAAGCAAGCTAATAATAAATGATTAAATTTACAATCATGGAATATCGCCAAAAGGATCTCTATATATATTCGCTATAGCGAATGTAACATTCGTTGAACAATATCATAAATGTCACATTTGTTAAAATGCACAGAATTTTGTAGAATTTCACGTACATCCACACATTTTTGACGAGGTTATTTTGTGAATTTCCGCAATTTTTAAAGCGATGTCACAAAGTCAAAAAGCGATTCATCTAAGTTGATAGATCCATCTGGCGGTATTCTCTGTTTCAATAAAATAAAATGTCTTACATCCGTAAGATGAACTTTTCCGCACTGTGATCCACAACATGCATTTAGTACGTATCTTTTACCGTAAATATGAATTCATGAGAAAACTGAATCTGACATGAGTTTTGCGATACAAATAGTTTCTGATACATTTTTCATACAGATATCGTAATGAGTTGAAACTTTGCACAGGGTATTTTTTTCACACAAAAAAAAAACCATTCTGAAAGTTTGAAGAATTTTTAATACAATTTAGGGGTACTTCCACACAAAATTTTCGTTTTCGAGCAAAAAATCCAAAATTTTGTTCGGGAGGTACCCCTAATATGCATTGAAATTACATCAAACTCTCGGAATGCTATTTTCGTGTGATAAAAATAACCTGTGCAAAGTTTCAGCTCATTACGATGTCATACAGGCATGGCTTCCATACAAAAATTCAATTTTTTTAAATTTTTGTATGAAAAGTGTGTCGAAAATTATTTGTATCGCAAAATTAACGTTATATTCGGTTTTCTCGTACCCAAAAACTCCCCAATTTATATTTTTGAGTGTTTAAGAATACATTAAATATCACTATTGGAAGAAAAATTGAATTAGTAGCCTATGGGCATCACACCAGACATGACACATCACTCTATCAACCACAGTCCCTCAAAATCTAATGGTTTCTATTCCTCGGCACCCCCAGTCATCTCGTGAAGTCAGATTTCAAATTACTTTTCTTGTTTGAAAGTTATCGTGTTAACAATTTTTTGCGTACAGGGTACCACGCACATACATTCGGACATCGAAAAAACGCTACATTAATGTTCCCTGGCTCATAAAACACCCAGAAAACATGTTTTTTGAGGGTGTTAATTTTTCGACCGATTCCAATACTTTACCTTACACACTAGGTGTGTGCGGAAAAGTAAAACGGACAAAAACGTGTCGCTTAATTTGTACAGTGTGCGCAATAATAGGAAGGCTATGAACTCGAGACGTTTGTTTTGTGGATCTTTTTCATTGTGATCTACTGCATACCGGATAAAATTGCGCCCAATGTTTAAAAAAAAAATCCGGAATGAAGAAAACACGCATTTAAGCTTCAATTGAGCACACAATGATCATTGTCGACAGTTTCAACTTCTATGTTGATCGCTTCAAATTTTTTCATCAGGGAATTGATACGGATTTAAAATTATTTTGATTCGATTAAGCACATTCGTTCATACTTTGTTCGCTTAATATCAACGGTTAAGTGGTCTTTATTATTTGCTTTGCTCATTACAATTGTTCAGTCAATTTCCATTTATTTGTTCCCTTTTTACTCGTTTCCAATCGATTTTCGCCTCTGACCAGAATGATATATGAAATGTGGCCGATATTGAATATATATGTGTACGTCTTTGACATAGCCAAGTAAATTACAGGCCACTCACGATAAAAACATTTGTAATGGAAGTGTCTAGAGATTATCACAGCAAGTTAAGTGATGATAAGACAAAAGTGCAAAAGGGGAAATAGAGGGCAAAGAGTGGGATGGAAAAAGAGTCACGGTATTTTTACATATTTATATTATGTGTGCATTTGTGTATGTGGCTAACATAAAACTCGCCTGAAAATATGGAAATTACGTTTGATTCGTGGAAAAAATGGATATGCTTCATAATGGTTCTGCTTTGTGTTATTTTCATTATTATGTATTGACGAAAGCGATAAGTGTATCGATGAAAAGCATTTTATGCATATTGTTAATTCCAATTGACTTTCCAAATCAAAATCCAAACAATATCCCATATATAAACACACACACATATACATCATTTAGAATTGAATGTAAAATAAGCCATGACAAATGAATGGCTTCCCCGCGCTAATTTCTTACATATTTTGTTTTATTTTTTTCATTTGAATCGATTCGAATTTGCGCAGAACTGATGTTTTTTCGCTGACTTCATAAGTGTAAAGTTGAACAATAACAACACACAAAATAAATAAATAAATGAAATACAACAGCTGTGGGTGAATGTGCTAACGAAATGTGTTTCAATGAAATTTGCTATATTTTTTTTCAGTTCAAAATATATCTCTTCAATTGCTATTTTGTCCAGTGAATACATTTTTCATTTATGGACGTTAATTTCATCATGTCGTTGACAATTATCACACACTTTACATTTATTCAAGAATCAAAATGCATTGATCTTGATTCGATGGCGAAACTTTTTCAACCGAAAAAAATAATAATTGAAAAACATTGTTTGTTTATAGCAAAACTTCCAATTTAAATAAAAGTTACTGAAAATTTTTGTCTACGCAATAAATTTAAATACTAATTTATTCATGAAATCCAATCAATCAGAGCAAAAAAGATCGAAAATATTGTAATTATATCAAGAATTCGCTTTATAAATAGATGATAAGAAATCTTTTCATTTATTCGACTCAATATTCGATACATCCAAATCATTCATGGCATGCTCACACAATTAGATCAGAAATTGTGATGTTTATTCATTGTTTCTATCATTTGATATTCTGCCAAAGTTACGATCGCATATTAAAAATAAAATAAAATATGTTTAGTCATCCAAGTTGATGTTGACTAAAACAAACACCATTCATATTTTCATTATTTTTTTATTATTGATTTTGGTGACTTTTAACATTTCGTCATGTATGACGCGTGCTGTCCCACAGTATAGGTCAATCAATAACAAAATGCGCACAATTTCGATGCGATTGAAATGAATTTGTGATAATAATTGAAATTATTTCTGGCCCGAAATCATCGTCAAATGACATGCGCTCACACCATATATACCCATCTAATCGAACGACAAATTGACATAAAAACCATCCTCTGCGACATAACGATTTACAATTTAATTTTGTATGATTGAATTGTGCGCGAAATGATGACAATCAAAATGCATGATTTATAGATCGGAGATTTTCAGTGGATATGTCAAAATGCACATTTCTTATGATTTGGATGGAAGTGTAGTTGAGCAAAGATAACAGTTGCTAAGGCCTTTTGGCAATGCACTTTTTTTTAAACAAACACAAAAAACTGTCATGACAAGCAACTTTGGATAGTAGTACACAGTTAATGAAATCCGCGCCAGTGTAACGCTACAAATTTAAGTGTTTAATTGATCTTTGCTTTGCACACAATCGCAAATGGTTCGATAATTTTTTTTATGTCGTTCGTTTCCCGTCGCCTGAGACGAAACTGAACAAAAAAATGCGAACGCCAATGAAATGAAATCTTTGATTATACACACAGTGTTTGTGTCCGTTGCTCCGAATTTATTGAATAACAACTGTAAATAGGAATGTGTAGTCATTGACCTGTTTCGTCAACTAATTTTAAACACGGTAAAAAATATCATTCAAATTAGTAAAAAATCTTTCGTTCATTGAAATTCGATTGGTTTTTTTATACGTTGTTGTTTTTTGCATACTTAAAATGAAACTACTTATTTTGAAAAATCTTTTCGAAAAATATGCGAATTCCAAAATTGATTGTCAAAACCAGATTTGGCATTATTGTTTATTTTGACGTGCGATTTATTTCTCTTTCGGTGAGCTTCTCTAAATAGTTATTTGTTGATGTATGTAAAAGAGTATGTGGAATGTGTCGCTTGAAATTTGAGCATTCATTTGATTGAAAGGCAAAACCGAAACAAAGTATGAATAAATCCACGAAGAGACAAGCATGCCACAAAATACCAGATTACAAGCAAACAAAAAAAGTCATCAGTATCATTTTAATTTCATGAGAAAGAATTGTTTTTAGTTTAGTTCAGATAACCTTAGCAAATACTATGGCAAAACCATTTCGAATGAACGAATAAAAAAGAATCCAATTAAAAAATATGGTTTCTGATTTAGATCAACATTGTTGAATTGGTCTCCGACAACCAGCGTTCTGACGACAATTCCATACAAACATACGTCCAGCACATATACCAACTTATAATGGCCAAAATGGTCTTTTTTCCATCACAAACACACCGAAATAAACCGATATTCAAAATATGTGTATTGTATGACAGACAAACGTTGTCATCATTTATTTGCATGGTCGGCATCATTACGTTCATCATTACCATCATTCATACAGCACGAACACAGTCCGGAACACATGCGTTTAATGTATACACTGAATGACGGTTAGTTATGTTACACAAAGAGAGAAAAAAAAACTATTTGCTTGGCTCGCGTGTACTATAGAGCACGGTGTGAAAACATTTGAATGAATCGAGCACGTGAGCAATGAACCATTGATGCGGTTGTAGTTACCATTTCTCTCTCTCTCTCTCTTTCGCTCTCTTTATGGTTTATTTATGGAAACATGAAAATTACGCGGCCCATGTGTGTTGTTTCTGTGTCATATTTTGTACTATTTTCTTGAAAATGCTTAAAAAAATTCGAATGACGCAATTTCTTGGTAATATTCCCTCATACACTATTCTACTCACATATTTTAATTTATGATTGAAAAAAATCCACCTACCAAACATACAATTAATCAACTGACAATTCCATTTGAAGCCATCGACGCTGACAACGGTGCTGGACTAAATGCATTTAATGAATTAAAACTAATTAAATCTTAATAATCACTTCATTTTCCAATTTAATTGATATGCATGATAGGACAATCGGCAATCGATCCAATTGAAAACATTACTAATCTAAATAGATCACAAAAATGAGAGTAATTGAAGTGACTTTGAACCATCGACAAAAATAGCAAGATTGACTCATTAAGTCGGTAATAATAGCCGAATCATTTTTCTAATCTAATTCGGAAGTGATCAATCATTAAACATAATGAAAGCTTTGCGTGTTCATTCAAATCATCGGCAATTATTTTGAAGGCATAATCTTTTATTGCAAAGTCTCAAAATCGTAAAATTTATACAAATATTTGATTGTTGATAACGTTTTATAACGTTTTTCGGGTTCTTAATGATTGATTTCAGGTTTTTTTTTTAATTCTTCTACACAATTTGAATTGAAGTCATTTCAATTTTAAATGATAACATTTTGCCTGTGGGAAATCCAACATCTTTACAAGTGCGGCGATCATTTTATTCATTACTGAAGTAAATCATAATTGACAACAATTTTGTGTTCGTAGGAAATATTCGTAGAATCGAGTTAAAAAGCGTTTTCATTCAAAAAGTGTTGTAAAAAAAACTCATGATAATTAGGCCATAATTCATGATTAATGCGTTTTTATGATAATAACAATGATCGAAGGTCATTCTCTGTTTATCAGAGGATGTTACTCAGTTCCAAATCAAGAACAAATTCATCGTAAAATACTTATTAGACCACATTTTTTTTACTTTAATTGCCAAAGCTATAAAAGCCGCATATAAAAACGTCCAGTAAAAAAAAAACGAAAAAACCACAAGTTCCTGCGGGCTGATCTTGAAAACGATGAATAAAAATCAGTGTATAGAGTGACGCTATTTTAGTATTTTAGAACTCTACATTTGGAGATATACCTCGAAGACACAAATTTATGTTGTCACAAAATTGAGATGTACCAATAGCACGCTATTTTTATTGTATTATCAATATTATCACGATATATCCATAGCGTCATTCTATTCACTGAACAATATCATAAAACCAAGCACAGCGAAACTATCACTTTTATTTAATTGACTGCATTCGTACATGCCACTAAAAATAATGCACTAATATTCTATTGTTTTCTTCTGTGCAAATTCGTTAAAGGTGTAACGATTTTGAGAATAAAATAATGTAAATATAAGTGCATTTTTTTGGTTTGCTCCGAAAAGTAAAAAAAATGCACATAATTAAAACGAAAAACAATTGGATTGAGTATATCAAACCCATGTATTGAAAGTTATTTTGAATTTTGGATCGTTTAAATACCAACATCTTAATTCGTTTAAAATTTATTTGTCGATTAGATCAGTAAAAAATTGTTTATTTGTCGATTGTTTGAAATTTTTTTTTTGTTTTGAAACATTTGATAGTGCGATCAAAAAAGTCAAATTATGTATGTCATAATATTATTACAAATAGGTTTTTTTGTGAGTTTTTTTTTATCATGCCGCAAATTGATGTGTTTTTTCCCGCTCTGTTTTATTATATAAAATGGTCATGAACTGAATCAAATAGCAAATTGCATGTAGTTAAAGAGTATTCAGATAGAATTATTCCATTTATTTTGGTTGATAAGACAATCGATACAATCAAGAGCCCACATCGATAAGAAAACGCGATCAATGCAAAGTCAATGGTGTTAAGTAATACAAGGACTTTTTATTTAATAAACCCTTTTTCCCTCCAGATCATCGTAATTTTGACCCAGTTTTATTGTTATGTTTAACCATTTTCTATCTATTCTTTACAGAATTTTAACTGACTTGACTAGATCTAGAGAAAGAGATACATCAAAATGACAAACAAAAATGGTAGCGTTGTGCCAGTCGCACAAGAATTAGAGACATTTTTACCCATTGACAGTGTAAATGGTGTGACAAAGTAAGTATACACAAAAGCATCATTTTAATCGTGTGCAAACTAATATATAGCGCTGCATTTGTTGAAGTGAGCCAACATGATACGATGTTGAATGAAAAAAAGGCAATAGCATTGCGTTTCACTCGTGTTGTGTGTGCCACAAGTAATTATTACAAAAACGGTTGTAAAAATGAGAACAAACGCACCGACTGATACACAATTGTGCGTGTACAATTCACTCACCGGCGTCTTTTCATCACTTTCATTTTGAGAATCTCTCGATGCATTGCCACTCACACGATGTTAATGTCACATAACGGAATCAATGCGCAGTCAATTTCAATTTGAAAGAAAGAAAAAGATATAAATGGCACCCTTTTTGCACACTTTGAATTCAATTCATCATTTACTCTGCATGTGATCACTTACACTGCAGATACATTTGTATATTGTCCATTTGACAAATTTTTTATCATTTCTTTTCTTTCGTGCGTTTTTTTTTATGTGTGTAAATTACTCGTTAAAATTGCAAAGTGTTCTATTTATAAATATCGCAAATTATTATCGTCGTTGAATTTTCTGTCAAATAATATTTCTATTTTTGCTCAAATCGCTTACTAAGTTGAAAAAAAGAGTTATCAAAGAGCAAAATGAAAATCCCAAATGTGGATAGTAAGACGTAAGTATGAGTAAATGTACTACAATTATGAAGAAAACACAAAATCGGATATAAAACATAAAATTAAAAGCAAAAAATCAAATTCACATGTGAACGGTTTGATAAAACGACTATTTATATCATTTAAAAATCATGATGCAATTATGAAGCGTGTTGCTTGAAAAGTGGTTTTCGTACCGCATGTTTGTTCACACACACACACACACACACAAACGGCGAACGAAGGAGAAAAAAGCGTGAAATAAAAACGTGTATTAGATGTTAAATGGAATCGACCATTTGTCTGCTGTGCACAAAATTAATGAGTATCGGATTGTTTGCAATTTTTTGTTTGTGAAAGTCATATTTTTGTGATGAAAAAGCACAAAGACCGAAACTGAAAAAGAAAATGAACGAAAAATATGCACAACAAAATAAAATGTAGCATGGTTTAATATTTTCCGATGTGTTTCAATTGAATCAGCTAAAATTGCAGAGAAGAAAATACAAAATATCTGAAATTTAACACACAGCTCAAGTGTGTAAATTTGTTGATTTAGACAAAAAAAAATATTTGTTGTTCATTTTTTTTTCGGCTAGATTGCGTTTCGTCCAATTTTCATTGAAAATGTTTGCGATTCGCATTTTAGTTTTGCTTCAGAAACACATCGAATAACACATATTTCATCAAATCGTCGCACAGATTTCTTTTATTCGGTTTAAATGGAATTGAATCCAACGTAAATTCAATGTTCATATTCCACCTCACATTGCAAATGGCAATGACTAATAATTTGACATAAATGAACTAATTTTTTCCATTTTGTTTGCAGGTATAAAATTCAGCCCGCCAAAAAGGATGCGGAGAACGGCGTGATTGAATTTGATCCTTTTCGTGAACGAAAAAATGATCATCCAACATCGTAAGTGTTGTCTTTTCATACATTTTATTGAGTTAGTGTATGACAGATGATGAGATTTATCCGTCTTTTTTTTGCCCACAGTGACAATGATACATTGGCCCATTTGTTGAAAGCATCGCTTGGTACTGGGATCCTATCCATGCCATTTGCATTCAAATGCTCGGGATTGTTGTTTGGAATTTTTGCAACAATTGTTACAGCATTCATTTGCACACATTGTAGTTATATTCTGGTAAGTATACAACACATATCAGTTGCTGGACCGTTTATTGATCGTTTTAATTTCCAGGTAAAATGTGCACACACATTATACAAACGAACACGAAGAACTACGATGAATTTTGCCGAAGTGGCTGAGGTTGCATTTGCAAATGGACCCAAATGGAGCAGACGATATGCCAGATTCTTCAAAGTATTGATATTACAATCGTTATTTTGGACCTATTTTGGTACATGTTCCGCTTATACTGTGATTATTGCAAAGAATTTGCAAGAAGTAGGTGTTTATCTTGAATATGAACTAAATTTGCGAATGTACATTGCACTTTTGTTGCTGCCATTGATATTATTGTCGTGGATACCAAATCTTAAACACCTTGCACCGGTATCCATGATTGCAAACTTTTTTATGGCGTCCGGGTTGGCTGTTATATTTTACTATTTGGTCAAGGATTTGAAACCAGTCAACAACGTACCAGCGATGGGCTCACTAACAACCATACCACAATTTATTAGTATAACTATTTTTGCGATAGAAGCCATCGGTGTGGTGATGCCATTGGAAAACCATATGAAAACACCACAGAATTTCGTCGGATTTTGCGGTGTTTTGAACAAAGGAATGTCAGGTAATACAATATATAAGAATATTTTTTGAAATCTTTTCTTGTTTCGATTTACTAATGGATTGTGACATTTCAGGTGTTACACTTGTCTATATTTTGCTCGGTTTCCTTGGATTTTTATCTTGCGGTGAAAGGACTGGGGATATTATTACTACAAACTTACCGAAAGATGAAATGTAAGTTAATTTTCTACCACAATTATTCGCACTAAATCCCAAACAAAAACGAGATCAATGACCTATGTCACATTCAATTTTAGTTTGGCACAAACCGTCAAGATATTCATTGCATTGGCTGTGTTCTGTACATTCGGTCTTCAGTTCTTTGTATGCGTCGAAATTGCATGGAATGCAATTAAGGACAATTTCACACAACGGCCACATCTTGTTAACTATGTATTGAGGTATATAAATTATCACTTACAAATTAAATGCACTCTGTTCATGTTGACTGCTATTGATCAATAGAAATGAAAACAACGTGTGTGAATTCCATTCTAAATTAAAATTTTATTACATTTCAGAACTGTGCTTGTTACATCAGCTGTACTGTTGGCGGTCGCCATTCCATCTATTTCGCCCTTCATCGGTCTTATTGGTGCTTTCTGTTTCTCAATCCTTGGACTTTTGATTCCGGTAAATATATTTGGCACGAAAGATGCCATTCAGTTCATGTAATTGAAATGCTAATTTCTTTTGATATTTTGACATTTATTCCAGGTGGCCATTGAATTTGTAACCTATTATGAAAGTGGTTTCGGCCCATACAACTATATCATTCTCAAGAACATTATCATTTGCATATTTAGTATGTTTGCGTTAATATTCGGTTCAAAAGATGCCATTTACGAAATTATGAAGTTGTATGTAACCGACAGTAGTCCTAATAATGTCACACATGCATAGATTTGCATCGCTAACATTGCTACAAATGTTACACTTCGTTGGAGATGAGGAAAAAAAAAACATCAAAACTACATAAAAATTGTAAAATTATTCATCAAACCACATAGACCGATTGATTCCAATTTGGCTCGAATTTGGATTGCCTATTGTTAGCAGCCGGATCTCAACTCCAATTCAAAACAAAATGTGGATTTAGATGAAGAGTATAAATATAAAAAAATTATTGAAAGAAACGAGATGATAGTTTAGATATTTGATTTTGACATTTTACACCACATTGTTTTCGGCTCTGTGTCGAGGAACACGGTATCTCAATACACACATTATTTATATAGAAATATGTAATTATGTATTTTGTGCCTGGTGCCTAAAATTCAATGAATTTTTTATATAAAAATTAAATTATAGTATGAAGAAAAAAATGTATACATATTTCAACTTTTTTACGTCTAAATTGCTTACTCATATTTGTTTTGTTAACACGTACATGCGTGTAAATAATACGAGAAAAAAAATAGTGAAATATTAGAACTTTGTGAATTGATTTGTTTAGTGTTTGCCTGAGAAAACAAAAGAATGTGTTTAAATGATGAAAAAATACACGAGCCTGATGGTATTAAAATTTAGACGTTAAGAATTTTTCTTGCACTTTTGTACAATTTCCTTTTTTTATAAAGATTTCTATTTTGTACATTTTTTCAAAACGTTAACCGCAATCAAAACAAATAGAATCGATTTTTATTTTTTTTTAAACCAGCAAAGTACATAGTGTCTAAAATTTTCTTTGCCCCTATTAATATCTATTTGTACTCGTTTTCTACAAGCAAATTAAAGAAGAAGAAAATTAAACGTTCAAATTATATACATAGTGGTTAATCAAATTTAGTTTATTTATCAAGAGAAATAATATTTTTCCTTTTCAAATTCAGATGTTATTTAATCGATTTTCCAATGTTCATTTGAAATTGTCTTTAAATAAACAATGGACAGTCCATTGGACACAATGCGTTCGAAATATTCTTGTCATATTTTGTTGTAACCGTTGTCTTTGTTATTTTGCTGTTAACAATAAAGGAGAAAGAAAACAAAGCCTGAAACACTATTGAATTGAATCAATCGTCCATTTTTGACGATGATTTTTTGTCAACGCAACATAAACTCACAACGGTATAAACAATATTCTGAACTCGAGTGAACTTCTTTCGTTATAATACTGTTGTTGCTTCCGACGTTCGCTGTGTTTTGTCGCTGTCGTTGTGTTAGTGTGACGAGTGTTTTGGATAAACATAATATCGCTGTTTATTTAAAATTAAAAAAAAACTGCACACGAAAGCAAGTAATGCGGCAAACACCACACAGAAAATCACACAATTTTTTTTCTGAAGCGACAATGTTTCAATGCGCGCTCTCATTCTCTCATTCGTCGTGAAATCGAACAATTTCTAATCGATACGGCCGGTTTAAAAATACAATGGGCAGAACACAAAAAAGATAAAATGATGCCTCAACCGAGTGCGATTCGACCCCCCAACAAATATCAAATTCGTAATTTCACCAGCGTGCCTTTACATGATTTCAAATTAAAACACATCCCAATCGATACGAAATTATTGCTGTTCATATCCAACGAATTCATTGGCAAAAAAGGACCGAAAATCGAATAAAATTATTTCTTTGAACATCGTGATGAATATTGGGCAACATATTTCGATATGCAAAAAATCAACAAATTAGTGAAAGGAAAGTTTACATTTCGCCGAAGGATCCTCACTGACAGCGTGTCGGCATCGATATTGTTCGACAAACCAATACCAGAAAATGAAGAAATGTCATCAGAGGATATTCTTGCAATGTATCCTGAGTTTTTCTACGAAATTGCCATCGATCCAGGTATGCGTACATGGCATGCCAGTGTAAGACGCACATTAAATCACGTAGACATGCAACGTTGCAAAGAAGTGAGTTGTATTTTGCTTATTTTACATTAAATTATATCATATTTGTTCAATCGGCAATTTTTTTTTACAATGAAACAATTTTTTTTTTTTTTCTTTTAATCCCAACTAATAAGGAAAACATCAAAGTCAGTAGTCAGCGTTACCATTGGGAAGCCAAATATCCAAAACGCAACAAGAAAATGAAATTCGCCGATTAAAATCAAGAAGCATGTCCGCTGTCCGGGCACACGGAAATTTGTGAAAAGCGTTAAGAAGAAACGAAATTGTGTTGTTCGATACGTGGGAGAAGACTATACGTCACAAACATGCCCAAGATGTTTAAATCGATATCCATAACACACAAGAAGTGATCGATTCGAGACGTGCCATAATTGTGTTCCAGAACCAGCCTTTGAATTGCCGATAATAATTGTAACACAAAAGAGCCATCGACAACTGAAAGTGGAACGAAAGGCCGTTAAGGAAACAAATCCAAATCATCATATGGTCAATCGATTGGTATTTATATTATTTTTTGAGGTAAAAGTGAAAACGAATATAAAATTCATTGTTAATCCATTTTTATTTAGATTGGTGTCTAAGGTTAAAGTATACCGAAAAAACTGGCGTCCAATCATTGAACCAAATGCTGAAGCGGAGAATGTTGCTGAACAATTGGCCGAAATGCATGTTATCGATGACAGCGCGATTGATGTTGAAATGGCGAATGCTGCCGAAGAAGAACAAAATTAAGATGAAAGAGTATTGAAAACCGTTTGCCATCGCGACATAGCGGCTGCTAGATGTATTTTATACAAAGGTAATATTTCAATCGAGAGTCAAGCGCAATAAGGGCACACTATATAAACGCCATCTATTAATAACCGACTAACTACAATGTTAATCAAACGTATCTGTTTCCCCTTTTTATTTACTCCCTTCCCCTCTCGCTATACTTTTACATTGTAGTTAGTCTGTTTTACAAAGATGTCGTTTCTGTGTAAGATGTGTGACGTCACAATGTATTTATATGGATAGCGCTCGACTCTCGATTTCAATTATATAAATGAAGATCAGAATATATTATACATTTTGTTTAAATTGATTTCAGGTCGCTTTGAATTATTCATGGGCTACACTCCCGATATATTCAGACGGAATGCGGGAATCGAAATACACTTCGACGGATTCAATACATACGCGGTTGAGGCCGAGCCAAATGCAGCAGCTTCTTAGTTTAAGTTTTGATTTTTGATTTTAACAATAATAATTATAATATCGCTAGGCCTGATTTTGTGGTCTTGCCAAAGTATCTTAAATGAGAGCCTGAAACCCAAAACAAGTTATAAAAATTCTTTTCGGAAAAAAAGCATAAGAATGTATTTTAAATGAAAAAGGCGATAGAAAAAAACTGAGAGTCAAAAGAGCATATACAGAACTGAGAATTAAAACAGAATATAAATTAAGTTAGCGACAAAACAAACAAGCGATATGTTATATTTTGACTCTCAGTTTTTATTCGTCTCATGTTTTTGACGAAAGCAAATATAATATTTATCGGTTCCAAATAAAAAGATATACATTTTCAGTGTCAAAATAAGGCGAATAAAAACTGAGAGTTAAAATACAATATACAGAATTGAGAGTAAAAACAGCAAATCGATATATGCTGCTTTTGCTCTCAGTATTCTATGTGTTGTTTTAACTCTCAGTTCTCTATATTCTCGTTTTGTGCTCAATAATTTCTTATGCTCTTTTTCCGAAAAGAATTTTTATAATTTTTTTGGGTTTCAGGCTCTCAAATGAGGTTGAACTAAATTTGTTTAACCACTTGGTAGCAATCTATAAAAAACACATTTTATTTCATTTAAGGATATTAAAAAAATAAAAATCTCCAAGTGTATTCAAATTTTCAGAAGAAAATAAATTGTTCGAAATAATTACAGAAAAAAAGTATTTATATAGATATTGCACATTTTCAATAAATAAATATTCAAAGAACAGAAGAAAATAAATAAAATTCGATTAATTTCCATATTCATAAATGGACAGATTATAATTAGTTTTGTCTCGACTTTTGATTATGTAATTGATTCAAATGAAATGAAATAGCCCGCGTGTTTCACTTTTCGTCAAAATTCGATAATCGATGTTAATTACTCATTTAAAATATATGGGTTTTGTTCTGATTTATGAGCGCTCGTTATTATTCAATTTTTATTTCATTCAATTTTATCTTTGTCTGAAATAAATGTAATATTATTTTCCATAAATCACGTTCAGTGACATATTTACCAAGATGTACACTTGAACAAATGCTCTTCAAATTGAATATGAGGAAAAAAAATTGAATAGATGATTTGACGTCGCAACAATACCTATCAAGCCTTTTAATCACTTCAAAAGGATCACTTTACTATAGATTATTTTTTTGATAGTTTGTACTTCGTTGGATTGTATTTTGAGAAACATCATAATAACGACACTTTATATGTTTTACATTAATTAGATGAAGTTATTGGATTTTATTGCAAATTCTACAACATGAAGCCCTCATCATATTCAAAATATCAGCTGCTACAGTGGGAGGTATCGATATCATATCCATAGAGTTATTATAGGTGACCGACACCGAAAAAATGATAAATTAATAATTCTTAACCCTCCTAGGTATAGTTCGAAATAAAAACAATATAGTATAGTTACGGTCTATTAGACCGTTCATACAAAATACAGGGAAACCAAACAAAAACCAAAACAAAATCACACATTTTTTCAAATTTTTGCATTTTTTTTTAAATAAAAACATTGAAAAAGGTTCGAAAGTTAAAAATTGAAAAGATTTCAAGAAAACAATTAATTTGAATCATCAGAATAATTTACATGAGAGCGTTTTTTTCTCGCATTTTGCACACACAACAGTGATTTTCGAATGTTCGCCGCATACATTTTTATTGCATTTGTCGCAACATGTTTTGGTTTTACGATTGATTGAACTTGGACATAAATGACATGCACGTTGTTGTCGTGGTGTAACTGGCGCTTCTTGTTCCTCTTGACCCATCAAATGCTCACGAACTTCTTTGAAAGCCGACTGATTAGATGCATTCATACCGCGCGCTGTTCGCCGTGAGATATGATCGTAAACTAAACCTTCATACAATTCGATCAAAAATGTCTTGCGTTGAAATGCAAACTGTTCATGCGTGATATCGTGACTTGTGTTGTAAAGAACAAATGCTGCAACACCACATACGTTGATGAGATTCATGAAGAATGGAAATGGCCATCGATTGGTTCCAAGTTGACATGAGTTTGAATGGCACATTTGATCCCTAGTTTGATCCAAAACATCCACACCGCCTTTTGTGCTATTGTAGACTTCAGATCGATTTTTCTCTGACAGACATTTTTTTGAAATAATAATATTATGTACGCGATAAACAAGATTCAAATTGATTTTTCTTGAGAATTTCAACCTATCTTCTCGTTTTCCAATTTAGTTTTTCATTTTTATTAAACGGATATCATAAATTATGTGTTTCCCATACATTTTGTATGGACGGTCTAAGAGACCGTAACTATACGATCAAGTTAGGATTTTCGTCTTTCTGGATTTTTTTTTTTACAGAACAGTTTCAGGATTTTAAATGTTATTTTCAATATTAATCCATTATTCTCGTAAAAAGGCGAAAATTTGATGCCAATCGGTCGACTCGTTTCCATTTTATGATATTTTTTTTAAGTTTTCGGTCTAATAGACCGTTACTATACCTAGGAGGGTTAATTAGCATTATGTCATACTTTGTTCACTAAAATTGGGATAAATAAAATCACACGAATAATATTTTTCTCTAGCTCAGCATTGTTTAAATCAAGCAACCCGTATATTTGGTCATAAGTACAGTATTGATTATTTGTATTTCAAATTGGTGCACTTATTATACTGAATTGATTAATAATTTTAAAAAAAAATATACATATATAGTATTCATATCAAAAATGGCTTTAGAACAATTCTAGATAATTTTCTTATTGAATAATATGAGCAAATTTTGAAAATCGGATATTTGATGCAGATCGAAGCTAATTATTGACGCAGAAATACCCACAACTAAGTAATCAATTATATCATGTTTTCATTGAAATTAAAAATCGGATTTCAATACACAATTTCTTGTTTGATCTTGACATCATTTGTTTTCTTCACTTAGCTAATATAAATTCTTCTAATTCAAACTTATCTTAATTTTAATATATAAACGTCTTAATCACACAAGAGGAAAATCCGGGCAATCCCCACAAATTATTTTTGAATTTCTACCAAAATATGAATTTGTAAGGTTTCCCTATAATAAATGGAGGGTGAATCCTCCAATCGTTTGGCAAAGTGAACGCGAATCAAAAGATCTTGATTTCCTTTCTGAAAATTGTTTATTCCACAGGAATAAGCGGCATATAATATATAAATGTTTTTTTTTATATTGTATGAATGACACAGCTGATTTATTTTACAATGAAAATTTCAAATTTAGTAACCAACTTCACGTTCGAACGTAATATTAAAAGAGATAAGGAAATCTATAGATAAAATTTGTGTGTTCCAAAGATTGTGAAGGATGTGATTGTACATTTGCCACATCAGTTAACGTTAACCAAAATAGTGACATACGAAACTGTTTTTATCCATTTATGCGTTTTAGTATAAAATAAAACACCGATTTGAACACTTGTAAATTTTTCGTTTTTCGAAAAATCTGCAACGATGACGAATGAAATCTATAATTTACCAGAGGATCTAAAAAAATCATATGAGTAAGTATGTTTAACGCGTTTAATGAATGTAAATAGAGTATGTCATTAAAAAAATCTGAACCTTTTAGTCATGTGGACAGTAATAAATTACAATTTATTGAAAAATTGCGTGATGAAGTGGCTATATATATATTGCATTACCAAAAGCCATTTTGGGTACTTTGGGCAATGTGAGTAACTATTTAAGTTAAATTTTTAAACATATTTTTGAACTAAATACATTATAAAACATTATCGTTATAAAGGATCCAACTAAAAAAACAGTTTGTGTTTATGGTCATTTGGATGTTCAACCGGCATTGTTGTCCGATGGTTGGGATAGCGAACCATTTGTCTTGACCGAAAAAGATGAAAAATTGTATGGTCGCGGTGCATCGGACGATAAAGGGCCGGTATTATGCTGGATTAATGCCATCGAAACATATCAATCTTTGGGAATTTCACTTCCGATCAATCTTAAATTTGTGTTCGAAGCAATGGAAGAGAATGGTAGCAAGGGGTTGCCCGAAGCGTTAATAGCTCGAAAAATCGATTTCTTTAAAGACGTTGAGTAGGGTAGCTATGTACGTTCTGGCGCACTATTGACCTAGGTCAGTGAACGAAACGTTCTCTGTAAGAATGAGAGAAGAATGAGAGAAGAATGAGAGAATCGCGAATAAGAAGAGAGAAAAGCGATAAATATGGTTTTTTAATTGCTTTTTCTCCACCATTCGCACACTATCATATATATATATGATGATATAGAGAGAAAAGCGATGAATATGATGGAGTGTTATTAAAACATGAATTTATTGTTTTTTCGTCTCTCTCTTTCAAATGCAGTTGTGCTTTTGATGCGGATTAAAAGCAAAAATTTCGTCGGGATTTTTGACTAATATATACGCGAAATCGAATTGCGCTCTCTACTCTTTATCATTTTCTCAAATTGCAGTTATTGTTTTGTGTAGACAAAACACTTTTGATGTAGATTAAAAAGCAAAAATTTCGTGACGATTTTCGCCTAATAATCAAAATTGAATTTTTGCCGATTGAATTGAGAATGGTGACAAAATCTAATATATACGCGAAATCGAATTGCGCTCTCTACTCTTTATCATTTTCTCAAATTGCAGTTATTGTTTTGTGTAGACAAAACACTTTTGATGTAGATTAAAAAGCAAAAATTTCGTGGCGATTTTCGCCTAATAATCAAAATTGAATTTTTGCCGATTGAATTGAGAATGGTGACAAAATTTGAAAATCAATTTATTGATTTTTTATCTTTCTTTTTTTCCTTCCTTACTATATTTTTGTGTTTTCTTTCTACTGTTTGGTTAGCAGTCTGAAGTAGTATGGAGTGTTATTAAAACATGAATTTATTGCTTTTTCGTCTCTCTCTTAAAGCAAAAATTTCGTGGCGATTTTCGCCTAATAATCAAAATTGAATTTTTGCCGATTGAATTGAGAATGGTGACAAAATTTGAAAATCATTTTAAATTGTTCAGCCGAGTGAAGCACATCTCAAAGATAAAATGAATAATCAAGTGAACTCATCAAGTAAGTATTAGTTGTGATTTTTGAAATAGAAAAAGTGTATTTGTGTTTTTGTTTGTTTTTTTTACATCAATCGATCATGTCAAAGTGTACATTTTCTGTTATATGTTCTGTTATATTTTTCTCATTGAAAGATCCAATTCCATCAACATCAACCGCATCCACATCGCGTGCGGCTAGAAACAACACGTCAAGTAACGTGTTTCAATTGGAAGACATGTCAAGTAAGTATTGATGTAAAAAGTGATGTTTTACAATAAAAAAAGTGCATTGGTGTTTTTTGAAAAAAAAATGTGACTGAACAACCTTTTTTGAAATTCTTGTTTTATAAATGCACACAATGTTTCAGCACATATAGAAGTGATGTTTTAAAATTGAAAAAAAAAAGATTTGTCTTAAAAAAAATTTCACATCTTCGTTTTTGTTTTTTGTTTAAGGTGTTTTTGATATTGACGCGCCCCCAACGCCAGACATAACTTTTGATCAAAATGTTCCGGTAGAAGATGATGCACCACCAACACCAGACATGATTTTCTTTGATCAAGATGCCACGGTGGTAGCAAATGACGCGCCACCCAATAATACATTGAATGCCGCTGCAAGTTCAAACAATACCACTGATAACAAAGAAGATGATGATGATGATAAATATATCCGGTTTTTGCAAAGCCAAGTGAAGGATACACGATTTGTGTCCGATACGAAAGTGGCCTTCTACAAAATAGCAGGCACGTGTCTGCTCTTAACCAACATAGAGAAAGAAAGCAGATTTCTTTCTAGCGAACCAAATGAAAGCAACATCAAGATAAATCAACTTATTAGTGATCATCAGAGTAAGTTATTTATATTCAATTTTTTTAAACAACTAATAATTGTTTGTTTTTTATATTTTTTCAGATTTGGAACCATCACTTCAAATTAATCCAGATTTGGTTTACTATGCAAATCAAAATCATGATTACAGTGAATTGTCAACAGCTGATCGGATTTTTCTCTCATCTCTTCGCTTAGAGGTTGAACGCATAAAATTGGGCATCGAAAAAGATAATTTGATAAAAGCTGATGACGTAGCAACCAAGAAGTGTGCCGAAAAAAGAAAGAGATTCACTGAAATGTGTTGTGTTTTATGTTCTGGTACGGTTACGCCACACATGAAGACCGCCGCATACAAATGCGGTCACATCTTTTGTTTACCTTGCATCGATACTCTTGAAAAAAAGACTGTCAAATGTCCAATGTGCCGAAAGGTTTTGGTAACCAATGATAAGCTTGAATTATGCTTCAGATTCAATTACTGGTACAAACCCATTTGTCGGCGATGTCTTAAACCTTTTGAAGATGATGATGATGTGCAAGCATTAGTATGCGGCGATGTCTTCTGTGCGACATGTACTTTTCATTCTGGAAATTATTGTCAAAAGTGTGACTCTTTTGCGAAACCTCTAAAACTATTCCTATCCTTTGAATAATATGGAATTTCGAATTTTTTCATTCGCATTCAAATTCCAAAAAAGAAAATATTTGCTTTGCTTCATCAATCGAAAAAATAATCAGACATTTTTTCATTTTTTTATCCAACGTTTTGCTTTTTCAATTTTATTCAACGATTTACTTTTTTCACCATGATTTAATAAAAATAATAAAAACGAACAAAAAAATGTTTTTATCTTTACATAAATTTTATGAGCGCAAAAAAAAACGATTTCATATGGAATTGCTGATACATACGATCACATTCTGTATCAACTACAATGGTTTGTATTGGTCGATTTTTTTATCTTTACATAAATTTTATGAGCGCAAAAAAAAACGATTTCATATGGAATTGCTGATACTTATTGAAAACAAAAAATATCCTTATACAGTTTTCATGTTTTGACAATGCGTTTATCGGACGCTTAGCATATTGAAAAAAGTGTACGTTAGGATTGCATTTACTTGAATGCACTTCTCTGTGGTAATATAAATGTTTAGTCTTCCACAGAAAACGATTAACTCGTAATGCGATTATTGCAATATCGTTCTGAGATTTTATACTTTGTTTGATTTTTTGATTTTTTTCTTCGTCTGGATGAGAATGCACGCATTATGTGATTTCAAATGAGAATATCTTTTTAGTTTCTGCTCGATCGCAAGTGAAATAACTGCAAAAATGTCGCCGCGCGTTGAAGTCATACTTCTTGAAACTGCATTTGAAAACAAGTTGAGCACTTTTCGTTTGAAAAACTATGAGTTTAAAATAGTGAGCGAATTTTTTGAAGAAGCTTTCAAATATTTTGAACCAATGGTTGCATCTATTTTAGATATACACTACTTAATTAAAATTTCTGTTTGTTTTAACGGGATCTTTGAAAAAAAAGTTATTTCAAGTGATGGTGAGGAGAGTAAAGTTACACAAACGATGTTTTTTCATTCAAACAACGAAATTATTGATTTTGAAACTGATTTAAACTCATTTTACGAAGAATATGTGGTACAATATATAAACAAGCGAATAAGTGAAGTTGAAATGCGAGGTAGTGGGTTCACATTGTCTGAAATTGTTGAACTAGATGTACAAGCCAGCAGCTACGACCCGTATAACGGTGCTTCGTATATCAAATTACCAAAACAATTGGAAAGCAAAAAAGCTGTTATAAATGTTCATAACGAAGACAATATGTGCTTTAAGTATGCAGTGCTTTCAGCGATCTATCCAGCTGTAAAAGATCCGCAACGAGTTTCTAAATATAAACGATACGAAAATAATCTAAATTTCGACAACATAAAATTTCCAGTCGAATTAAATGATCTTAAGAAATTTGAAAAACAGAATCCATCAATTTCGCTTAATGTTTATATGTGGAGTGATGCAAGTGAAAAAGTGCGTCCGCTTCGGCTCACAAAAGAAGTGAAAGGTAAACACATTCATTTACTGCTATTAACAAAAAAAAGTTAAAAACAGTGACACTCCAAAATCGCACTACTGTTGGATAAAAAATTTGAGTGCGTTAATCGGTAAGCAAGTGTCAAAAAATAATCGACAAAAATTATTTTGCGATCGATGCTTAAATCATTTCATCGATTTAAGGAAGCTTCAAGAGCATAAAAACACATGTAACAATCAAAATGAGTGTCAAATTATAATGCCGATTCCGTGTGTAAATGACACTATTGAATTTCAAAACTATTACAAACAATTACCAGTTGAAAACGTAGTCTATGCAGATATTGAATCAATATTAAGAAAAATCAACGATGATGATGAACAAGGTATCAACAGCAATAAAACGAAAACATACCAAAAGCATGAAGTGTTTAGTGTGGGATACTATTCAGAGGACACCAAATATCAATTTAATCGTGGGCCAAATTGCATCGATTGGTTCGTGAGTGAAATGGAGACGATTGCAGAGATTGCAAACGAAGAATTGAAACATATTGAGCCAATGCGATTGAGTCTTGAAGAGGAGGTCTTGTTTATATGGGCTGAAGAGTGCCACATTTGCGGTAAAGCGTTCATTGATCCTGAAGATAAAGTACGTGATCATGATCACTCTGATGGTTCATTTCGTGGAGCCGCACATAATGATTGTAATCTGAGGTATCAACGAGCCAAATACGTTACAGTAGTGTTTCATAACTTATCAAATTATGATTCACATTTCATAATTCAAGCAATTGCCCAAAACATTAAAGGTGACATTTCGATTATACCACGAAATGATGAGGTGTACATTTCATTTTCCAAACATCTTGATTCCACACGAGATGAAAATGGAAAAGGTGGTATAAAACTCCGTTTTATTGATTCTCTACGATTTATGGCATCTTCATTGGATTATCTAGCCTCATTGCTTCCACCGGAAAAGAAAAATATTCTACGATCTGAATTTAAAGAGCTGAATGAGGATAAACTCAAATTACTTCAGAAAAAAGGTGTATTCTGTTACGATTATTTGGACTCAATCGAGAAATTGAACGAAACATCATTGCCACCGATAGAGAAATTCTACAGTTCATTGTATGAAATGGATATAAGCGAAGAAGATTATGCACACGCGAAAAATGTCTGGGAATCGTTTAATATCCAAACATTAGGCGAATACTCCGATCTATACATGAAAACGGATATTTTGTTACTTGCTGATGTGTTTGAAAATTTTCGTCATACATGTCAATCTATATACCATCTCGATCCAGCACATTACTTTACAGCGCCCGGCTTATCGTTTGATGCAATGCTGAAATACACAAAGGTTCAAATCGAGCTGTTAACTGATGTAGATATGCTTTTGTTCATCGAACGTGGCATTCGTGGGGGCATCTGCCAATGTACTAAACGATACGCGAAAGCGAATAATAAATATATTGAAGATTACAATCCGGAACTTGACTCAAATTTTCTAATTTATCTCGATGCTAATAATTTATACGGTTGGAGTATGATGCAGCACCTGCCAATAGGTGAATTCGAATGGTGCTCCGACAACCCACATCTTCAATGTGAAGACGATATTTTGAATATACCTGATGACAGTGAATATGGGTATATTTATGAAGTGGATTTATCTTATCCAAACAATTTACATGATGATCATCAATTTTATCCATTTTGTGCTGCAAATGAAGTCGTTCCAAATACAAAAAAATGATAAAAAATTATTGTTAACTTTAAGCGATAAGAAGAACTATGTATTGCATTACAGAATGCTAAAATGTTGTCTAAAAAACGGATTACTCTTAAAAAAAGTACATAGGATCTTACGATTTAGACAATCTACTTGGTTGAAGCCATATATAGAGTTAAATACCAAATTACGTACAGACGCGTTGAACGAATTTGAGAAAGAATTTTATAAATTGTTAATTAACGCCATCTTTGGCAAAACAATGGAGAATATGAGAGATCGATCAGAAATAAAATTAAAAACCAAATGGAATGGGAGATATGGGGCGAGAACTTACATTTCTCGACCAAATTTTAAAAAATATAAAATATTCGATGAAAATTTAGTGGCTGTGGAGATGAAAACAACATTCATAAAAATGGAAAAAACCGTTATCAATTGGTATGTCCATACTTGATATTTCAAAAGTGTTAATGTACGAATTCTATTATGGACATTTAAAACAAAAATATGGTAATAACGTCTCTATGATCTACACCGATACAGATAGTATGATTCTAGATGTTAAAACCGATTGTTTTTACAGTGATATGCTTGATAACCTTGAAATGTATGATACAAGCGATTTTGCTGAGCCCAATAAATACGGCATACCACGCGTAAACAAAAAAGTACCCGGCCTTTTTAAAGATGAACTCAAGGGGCAAATATTAACCGAATTTGTTGGTCTGCGTAGTAAGATGTATTCTATCAAAGCCGGAAGAGTCGAAAAATTCAAAAAAGCAAAGGGTGTTAAAAAATCTGTTCTGAAAAATACGATAGCATTCAAAGACTATATGAAATGCATAGAAAAGAATTGTACAGTTCTCAGACATCAAAATTCAATCCGATCGAAATTGCATAAAGTATACACTATAACCCAGAATAAAATAGCGCTAAGTCCATACGATAACAAAAGATATATATTGGAAGGAAATATTAATACTTTACCATATGGACATTACAAACTCAATGAAATGAAAAATGTTTAAATTTTATTTGAGTGCATATATATGCAAAAGAAACTCGCATAGAATTAAAAAAACATCATGTATTCGTTTATTCTTTTTTTTACAAAAAATAATAATTAAAATACATCATTTTTATCAACCCAAGAATTGTGTTGGCTATCGAATCCAACCACGTATTTGTTAATCGATTTAGATGGTCATGATATCAAAGGAACAGTATATGAAGAAGAATTACAATTAGTGAAATATCCAGATTTATTTTTAGTAGAAAAAATTCTTAGAAAAAAAGGTAATAGAGTGTATGTAAAGTGGCTTGGATTCGATTGCTGCACTTTTTTTATTTTAAAAATTTCACAGGTCCAGTTTGGTGTATACCCCTTGGCAAATATATGTTTGTATTTACTCATTCGAACTAAATCATCACGCTTGAATTTGACTTTAGCTCTACGGAACGATAATGTATAATCGTAAACAGTGTTCAAAAGAAAATGCTCGTTCGATACATTTACATCGTTTGGTTTCATTTTAATTGTTCGATGCTTGCTGTGGTTATAATCATCAACTAATGACTGCACAATATCAATCCATTTATAGGAGCCGCGATAACTAAATTCTTTCCACATTCGATTTTTCAATGTCCTATTGAAACGTTCAACAATTGCTGCTTTTTTCGTGGTAAAAGTGGA